CTTTGTTTTATTCTTGTGAGTTTAAATATTTGTAAACACCCACCTTGTGAGGCCTTCTTATTTACACAAATCAAACTTTGTAAATGGGGAGTGATGCCTTAGAAAAACTGAAGTGGTTCTATCTTGGCCATTGAAAAGATAGAGTTGCAATGTTACACATTATCCTTAAAGGTAAGAACAAAATAGTAAATTTGTTGAAATGATTAGTGGTGAAAAGCTAAGGTAATGAATGTATACTTTGGTTGAGAAAGTCGAACCACTGTAAATCGATTTGTGCCAAAAAGTTCTATTTTTTGTTCAAGATTCCACCAAACTTTATCAAAGTCAATTCACTCCCTCTTGACGATTTTTGGTTGATCAATCGAACCCAACATGTAGTTTACCCTAAATACTTTAATCAAAAAATTTTAAAATCATACCTAAAGTTTAGTTTTTATTTTATTTAGTATCTCGTTCAAAATTTAAGATTTTTTTTTTTGAAAATTTAGGTATTAAAACATACTAAAACTGGTAGTTTAGGTACTAAACGCTTTAAGTTTTTAACGAATGGTACTAAACTGAAACAAAAACTAAACGTTAAGTATGATTTTAAAAAAATTGAAAGTTTAAGTACTAAAAATGATAATTTAGGTACTAAATGCATAATTTACCCTAAATTTTTTTATTATATCTAGGCTAAACTATGTGTTTAGTACATAAATTATTAGTTTTAGTATGTTTTATTACATGAACTTTCAATTTTTCAAAACCATAACTAATATTAAGTTTTTGTTTCATTTTAATACCTAACGTTAAAAACTTAACGTTAATTTTTAATGGGTGCTAAAATGAGATAAAACAAAAATTAAACGTTATGTATGCTTTTAAAATCATTAAAAAATTAAATACTAAAGCAAGTAAACTAAAATAATTTAGATACTAAACACGTAGTTTACTATTATATATATATATATCTTTCTCTTTCTTGTCCGAATCTCTTTGTAAAAGTGAATATCAAAAGCTTACCTCCTCACCTGAAACACCATTTTCAATTTCCTGTCATCAAAGGAAATGCAGAGAGCCAGTTTTTAGAGCTTTTTAAATAGCTAAAATCCCCACCACCCGAAGCAGAAACCCTAAAAGATCACTCTGCTTTTCTCTTTGGATTCTTTCTCCTTTGTTTCTTATCCGTGGAAGCTCTGAATTTTCTGAGGTTTTGGTTATGGTGTTCATAAAGTGAACCAAACCCATCCTTGTAATGGAAACGGCGGCGGCGCCACCACTACCACAACCATCGAGGTTTCCGATCATGATTTGGATGAAGGAGACGATGGTTTCATCGACCTGCAGTTCCCTTTGCATGGGGTTAAATTTCGGGTATTTACTCCCAAGAAACCGAAACCGGAGGCCACGAAGCACGAAGAGCGTTTCACCAGAGAAAACAGTTGGCGGAAAACAAATGGCAGAACCGATGATTCCTCGAAGAGATCTTCCAAAGATCTGGTGCACAGATACTTGAACGTAATCAAGCCATTGTACACAAGAATCAACAGAAAGAACAGTCAAAGCGACAAGGTGGGAATCTCCTGCGACTCACCGTTGTCTTCTCCGGCGACGGCGTATTCCACGAAGGGGAAGTATGGGAATACAAAGGGGCTTACAAGCATCTGGAAAAGAGCAAATCGTCGTCGGCATCGGCTTCGCCGATTAACCGGAGAGATGATTCATTGCTGCTACAACACGATGGTATCCAAAGCGCCATTTTGCATTGCAAGAGATCATTCAATTCATCGAGAGGTAATAATCATAGAACAAATTTTAAAACTCTGGGTTTATTTTAAAATTCGATTCCCAGCTCGTTTTCTTTTTCTGGGTTTTGTTTGGCGGCAGAATCTTCTTGGTTGTCGAGATGCACAAGTGATTCTTCTTCGCAAGATAAATTAAGCAATGCATCTTCAACAGGTATATATATATATAGAGAGAGAAAAACAATCTTTTTCATTGCTGATTAATCTTTTTCTCTGATTCCCCCCCCAGATTCTTCTCTGTTCTCACGAGTTACAAGCAATTCAGCAAGAACATCCGGCGAAGAAGGACATGCATTCAGCACCTGAAAGAAAAGAGACGATTTTTATTATCACGATGATGTAAAAATTCAAAACGGAAACAAGAAAAAAACAAAGGGAAGTGTTTTTTTTTATTGTTAGCTATCATGAGCAGTGGTTGTTGAAGTAGGGTTTCTCACATGTAAAGTTGAAGCTTTTGTCATTATGAAGAAATTTAAACTTGTCTCTTGATTTTGGATATTTTTCTTCTTCTTCTTGTCGGGAGACACTGTTTGGTCTGATTTCTGCAGTTGGAAGCAAATATCATGTTTGGTTTGAAAGGTCAGATTTTTTTCACATCAAAGATGTGATCATGTTTTCAGTCACACTATTGTCTTAAAATTAAAGATTTAATCCTTCAATTTTAATCTTCTATAACTTGATCCTTCATTTTTATGATGCTATTATTGTTTTTTTGGTTGTAATAGTAGCAACCTATATTCCAGACAGTAACAAGACCAACAACAAGAAGGATTAAAAAATGGGTAAATTTTGCGTTTACTATAAAATCTATCAATTTGATCATTTTTAGTATCTAATTTTTTATTTTTTTTTAAAAATCATATATAAAGTTTAGTTTTTGTTTTGTTTTATTTTAGTATTAGTTGTTAAAATTTTTAGTTTTTGTTTCATTTTAGTATCTAATTCAAAATTTAATATTAAGTTTTGAAAAAATTTGAAAATTAGGTACTAAAACGAAAAAAATTGATAGTTTAAGTATTAAATACGTTAAATTTCTAACAATGAAATATTAAAATGAAATAAAAATAAAGGTTTAGTTAAGTATGATTTAAAAAACAAAAGTTTATATATTAAAATAAATTAAAATTGATAGTTTAAGTATTAAATGTGTAGTTTACTAAAACAATGTCATTATGGTCATGGTTGTGCCTAGGCTGATCTTATACCACCGGACAATTGTTTACCACAATTTGTTTGTCTTTATTCCTATCTTCCAGTCTGCATTGTATAAATGAACCAATCATTTTAATATACGTTCCATTTAAAGTTTAGATTTTATTTATTTATTTTCAACCCTAAATTTAATTTTTAATAGAATAAATATCTTTCAAATAGATAACATCTAGTATATATTACTAAAAGTTTTATGATACTTAAAAATTATGTACTAAGAAAAAGGATAAACTATGTAGATAATCTCCTATATTTCAGTCTTCCGATTTTGGTCATTAATTTAAAATTAAGGGGAATGATCCCTAATGTTATCTATTCATTCCATTTCACTCACTAATATTATCAATCCATTCAATTTTAGTCCCTCAATTGTTAACTCTTATTCAATTTTAGTCCCTCGTTCATGTTAGGGACTTAAACAGAAAGGGTTTGTAACCTCCTAGACCCTGCCTATGCGTTTCGACTAAGTCTAGTGGATCACATTATGATTCTTAAAGACATTTTTCCGAAACCGTTATTAAATCAATGTAAAATCACATTATAAATGACATGAAATTATAATAAATCATACTATCAAAACCCAACTTGTAAATATAATACCAATAGGTAATAAATTAATTTAAAACATATCTTAAAAATCAAATCACGATAAACCGAATAGTAATAGCAAAAATGTCATCATATTAAAATCACATACTTTAAAATAAGGTCCATGTCAACAAAATAAAGTCAACTTGCAAGGTAAAAACATTACAATCAGATATACTTCAAGAGATATGTTGATCCTCCAAGTGCTCGAACCGAGGTATCTAACCAACAGTATCTGAAAGGGGAAAACATTTTCGAAAGGTGAGCTAGGCTCAGTGTGTCCCAACATTTCCATAAAATCACAATAGGTACAAATCATAGTCCAGTAATCTCATAAATTCGTAAAAGAATTTAACTTTTTCAAATCATAGTTTAAACCCTTTTCTGGTACACCATCAGTAGTTCCCAAAATTATTTTCCATATAGCTTACTTTATGCACATAGCAAAAAGAAAGCCGACTTAAGGATAGGCTATGAAGCTTGTATCCTTAAGCCCAAGTCAATAAGTCCATATAGCTTACCCTAAGCACACAGCAAAGGAAAGCCGACCTAATGAAACATCTTGTGGCCCTCAAGAGTCACATTAGGCCCAGTTAGCTTGATCAGAGCTATTCCATCGTATTTAAATTCCAAAATTCAATTGCACCATGACATAAATTCCACAAATCCAAAAACATGGTAATCATATACCATTTCAAAACAAAAATTAGATAGCAGCCATATTACATAAATTGTCACATTAAATTGGTGCATCCATAAAACAATAGCCAATGAATTCGGCGTACCACATATTAAAACCAATAAAACAGTTCAATAATAAGTAGGGAACACACCTCGACAATAGGTTCAAATAGCAAATTTACTGATTGCTGGTTTCACCACGCTCTGCTACAATTTTCGAACGGGTGAATACTGGCACACGTGGTTTAACTGATCTAGAAGAGCTGGGTCGAGCTGTCGAACGATCCGGAGAGTCTCTTGTACATTCAAACAATAATAATCTATCAGCCCCAAATCTTAATTAATTGTTCAAAACTAGAATTCTTAAGTATATAAGCATTTTTCGGGTTTGACTATCATTTTGGGGTATTTCGAGTCTGAATTTGGCCAAACGGATTGCGGAATCGGAATCATGACGTCGAAAAACATAAAGTTTGACTTTCTGAAAATTCAGATACTTGGTTAAAGTCAAAGTCAACCACTTTGACCGTCGTTTCGGAGGCCTTCGGGTTCGAATTTGATAAAACGGACAGCGGAAACGGATTCGGCACGTCGAAAACTATCAGGATAGGTATACTCGGAAAAGATTAACGGTCGTTTAATGCTCGGTCAAAGACATTTTAAGTTTTGGTCAACGGTCAACGGTCAACGGCTATCAGGATAGGTATACTCGGAAAAGATTAAAGGTGTCATCGACGGACGATCCTGATCGAACACAGAACTTCGGGTTGTTTGTATGCATAACCGTTAACACGAAAACCAATATAATTCTGGTCTGGGACACGGCTAATAGTTACTATATATAACAAGCCCTTCATTCGGTTCCTTAGGTCATTCGAGTCAGCCGACGAAGATTCTTTGGTCACTTTGTGCATGGATATTGCTTGGTGCCAATGGATATGGCGAATCACTGGTCTTTATAGTTTCATCGGTACTGGTATTCGCTTCCAAACATCTAAGGTGTCGAATGCGCTTGGTTCGGTTGTGGTCTTGAGTCAACCATAGTATCTCATTGAACTCATTGTTCAACGTGAGGTCAGTTGCTCAAATGACTGTCGGGAACCCAAATTTTAACTACTTCAAATAGGAAACACAAGCACCAGTGTTGGTTTCGCCTACAGGTGCAAACAAGTTGGGTTGGTTGTGCTCACAATGGCAAGAGTCGGGAATTAAGAAAGATTAATGCAATACTGAACTTGAACTTGAACAATGTAAGAAAGATACATATCTGGAAAGCGGTATCAGGTCCGAGTTTTCGACATTTACGGCTTGGTCGAAGATGGAAGGTAAGGTGCATTTGATGTCTTCACGGAAACGGAGGAAGGTGAATGGCCGGAGCGATCTGCAGAAATGAACCTAATCATTACAGTTAATTAGTAATGTAACCATTCATCCATGTACTGTATTTTCCATGCCTTCATTTCTGCTTCCATGACTTGAAAAGCTCGGCCACCGCAATCCGAGAGGAACCTCCCTCGTTCACCGCCACCCTGACTGCATTTTTCATAGCTATAATCCGCTCCTTAACCCAGTCACCTTCTTTCGACTCCATCAAATCCTTAACTCGTTTCTCCACCTCAGTTGAACACACCAACCCAGTTTCCAACTCCTCCATTGGCAAAGCAATCTTCATTTCTTCCACCATCAACACCCTATTGTACCTTTGCTCCGCATAAAGTGGCCACGCCAGCATTGGAACCCCAGCACACACCGCCTCCAGCACCGAATTCCAGCCGCAGTGAGTTACGAACCCACCAATAGAGTCATGACTCAACACGGCTGTCTGAGGGGCCCATGATTTCAGTAAGTATCCCCTGTCTTTGGTCCTATCCAAGAACGCTAGAGGAAGCAACGATATCAGGTCTGGGTCGACTTCTTCGTCAATGCCCAAGTTTCGGTTCTCTGATGGAGGATTCCTCACCACCCACAAGAATCTATGCCCACTTCTCTCTAATCCAACAGCAATTTCCATTAATTGTTGCATCGAAAAAAATCCAGCGCTACCAAAACAAAGAAACACTACACTTTTACTAGGCTGCGAGTCTAACCATTTTAAGCATTCAGGGACACCATCGCCACCGCCAGCAGCGGCGTTAGCTATGAAGGACCCGATGCAGTAGAGGGGACGCGTCGCGGAATTCGGCACGCAGAGTCCATTAGCAATCGCCTTGATGGCCCTTGGCTCCATGTATTCAAAAGTGTTGAGAATAATCCCAGCTAAGTGAGTCAAGCAAGTGGAGATATCTAAGAAAATTTCATACATCTCGTTGCGTTTGAGTATCGGCGATGGCATATCCGATGATAAAATCGGTGGCACGCCGGGGATATCAACGAGAAGATCACGGTAATCTTCGAAGCTTTGGGTGAATTTGTTGTGGAGGGTGGGGAGATACAGTAACGAAGCAAGAGAACCTGCGGCACCAGTGTAGAAACAGTAAGCTGGGAGGTCAAGATCTGAGGCGACTTCAAATGCACTGCGGCTGCAGAAGAAGTCAACGATGATGGCGTTGAGTGTGTAGCTTTCGGAGATGGTAAGGAGGGAACGGCGGAGGTTGGGTATGTTGAGGCGGATGAAGTCGAAGTGAAGGGTGTCTAAGTGGGTGGTTGGTGGATGGAGATCGACGGTGGGTAGGTTGTTGAAGGTGATGGCGGAGGAGGCGGAGGCGGAGGCAGAGAAGAGAGGTTGGGAAGGAATGGCGGCGACCAGGATGTGGATATAAAGTGAAGGCTGGTGGATGTGAAGGAGATTGGCTAACTCCACCATAGACGCATGATGGGTAACCCAAGGTGCTGGGTAAATAACTATGGCTTCCTTCTTCGCCATTGTCGATACTGGTATTACCCACATATGAATGGAAGCGACCAAGCAAACTATATATATATATAATCAGAAATAAAGGCCAAATAAACATCATCGCATACCAAACAGTCGATCAATCAACTACCATTCCACCAAATCTGCCTCAACCAACGAGGAGAGAGAAGTTTTTAGCATTTCATGTAAATTCAAACAACCATATTGCTTTCTCTTTTCTGATTTTTTTTGTACATTTCATTTAGATTTTAAAACAAAAATCATACTCATTACCATCCTCGAAGACAGAGAAAAGTGAAAAAGAAGAGAGGGGAAGTCTAGGGCCGACAACCAGTGCATGGCCGGTGCTGCCGCTGGCAACAATGATGATGTGAAAGGCAGGTGCTGGATGAAAGGGGATAGAGCGTCCAGGTGTTTTGATTGTCAAAAATCACTGCTGCTGCCTGTTGACAAGGCTTAGAGAAAGAGATGGGAAAAAGTCACATTCTTCATTGCATAACTTAAAAGTTCGTAAGGTTTTCACCAAAATATAACTACACAAACCCCAAAAGAGACCTTTAAAACGAAGGGTACTAAAGCAACAAGAAAACAATCCAACTACCTCAACTTGGGAACAAATTTAAACAGTCAAGCATAGCCAATTTGACATAATGAAATATTGAAGATATGTATACAACACTGCAGTTGATTAAGAGAACAAAGAGCTCAGTACTCCCACTTCTTTAGCTCCATACCATCCGGAGGACTTCCTTCCACCTTCTTTACACCAACTTCTTTCCAGTTTGTTGAAAGAACAGTCCCATTTGATTCCACCTGCAAAGCACACATCAAATAGATCATTCAAGCCCTGTATTCCGACCACTATTTTATCCTGAAGACTATAGTTATGCATAGCAAACTCCTTGAGTAAAAATATCTTACGAAGGATTTCTGCATGGCCCTTCTTGCATCCTCATCTGCATCTTGATAAATGTCCCGGAAAAATTTGTTCAATGCCGCATCACCATCCAGCTGTTCATCTTTCTCCTGAAAACCGGCCACAAAAGGTTGTGTGTTAATGGTGATTGTATTCCACAAAGGAAACAAATAAATTAAGATGTTTCATGTACCTCTTTCTTTACTTGGGCTTCAATTTTATCCCAATCCCTTTTTGGTTTGGAGGATGGGTACGCTGGTCTCTCATTTGCAGTAACTATAACACAAGAATTCGATATGATCACAAGTCCATAAAGGATACTCACAGTTTAATTGCTACTAATAAAGATAACATAATAAGGAGATCGACTTACCAGAAGATACATTAACCCTTTGGGGAACAGCAGCTTCCCTGCTATATTCAAGGGATGTCCAATGAATTGGTTCAGCTTTTGCTAGCCGAATTTCAATTTTAGTAGACAAAACATCATGTCTGCACCTGTCGGGTATTATCTGTTCAAATAAAGGCAATTGCCACAGAAAAATTAGCATAGCAAAAGATTGAATAAAAACCTTGCGCTTGTCAATGCATGCCAACCTTATGCACCATACTAATCTTACTCTTAACCAGAATCTATTAATTTCATGTATACCTTTCCAAATAAGCGAGGTTGGAAATGATAAGCATCTTTACCGGGAGCATTAATGGCTACACTTAGCTGCATGGCAACAAAGAAAGATGGCATATCTTTAGCCTATATACTAATGAAAAACTCAATGCTACTCATTGAGCAAAGGTCAGAGACGTGAAAGGCAAAAATGAAGACAGGTGAATTATTATAACTTACAATTTGTTCACCATAATCAACTTTAACACATTCACGAGGTATTCCCTTAGCAAAAATTGTGACAACAACTTCCTCTGGCTTCTGGTAAAATTCATGCCTGTGCAATAATTTAGACAGAATTAGCTGCAAATGATCCAATATAAAAAGCATTGATATTACAAAAGGTTCACATAGGCACAAACCTATAAGAAGGTTTGGCCGATGCTGCCACAGTCACAGGTTCAGGCAGACCCTTGTCGGACAAAACTTCTTTCACAGGTACAACATTTGTTGTCACCTTTTCCGATGCCTGCATTGGTAATTCACCAGTTTCCTCTAAACAAATACACAAAATCATTAGTAACATAATGCATGTTATCAGTACAATAACAGGATATCTTTACTTATAAAGCAATTCTTTCAGACAAATTCATTGCACTAAAGAGCAATTCTTTATGACTATAAACCTGCAATACGCTCTTCGCATTCTTTAATCAACTTGGGAAATCTTGAGTCTCCTGGTGCCAAAGCAGCGCCATCCTCCAATGCAGCCTTGGCAGTTTGATACTCCTCAAGCTTCATACACGCATTACTGCATACATATTTTTACATATTATAAGCTTCGGAATCACTACCTAGAATCAATTATTAGAACTTTTTTCCTATAATAATCTTCAGGAAAACAACTCTACGAATTCCTTTAGTAATCATACAGTAGATTCTACAGCAGAACGCACCGAAGTATGCCATGGGCAAGCCAAAATTATGAAATTAATGGGGGGAAATAAAAGTGGGCAAGGGAAAATCAACTAACGCTTTGCGCAAGTAGGCTTTAGACATGGAAGGGTCCAACTCGATTGCTTTGTTTGCATCCGCCACAGCCTCTGCGATAGAAAGAATTGCAAAGCAACAAAAAGATTAACAACTAATCTTTAAAAAAGCATATATAAATTGAGGTAAATTGGGTAAATAAGGGAGGTACCAGGAAGATTATTGAGTTTGATGTTGGCTTGAGCGCGGTCGGCGTAGAGCTCGGCCTGTTTAGGGTTTTGTTCAATGGCTTGCGAGTACAGATCGAGGGCGAGTTCGAAGTGGTCATCGATGAATGCTTCTTTGGCCTTGGTTTCCAGAGCAGACGCCATTAGAAGTTCCCTGGGAGAACAAACACAATTGAGAGGTGGATTTGGATTTCCAGAGAATTGAAGAAGAATACGATTTACCCAATAATAACAGATTAAATGGTATCCGATTTTTATTTTTTTTCATCGACTACTCGTATTTCTAATTATAATTAAATTACGCGAATTGACAGTATTACCCTCGTAGCTTTAGGGTTTTTTTTAAAAATCAAATAATTTTTTAATTATACGCGCGATTATATTTATTTAGATTTTTTAATTATACGCGAATTGACAGATTAAATGGTATCCGATTTTTATTTTTTTTCATCGACTATTCGTATTTCTAATTATAATTAAATTACGCGAATTGACAGTATTACCCTCGTAGCTTTAGGGTTTTTTTAAAAAATCAAATAATTTTTTAATTATACGCGCGATTATATTTATTTAGATTTTTTTATTCAATTAATAACGCGCACCGTAAATTTAATTGTTTAATCTAGATCCTTAGAGGATAATAAATAATATTCTTTTTTTATCATTAACACAAAGATAAAAGACAAAATAAGAATTAATGATTTATTACAATATATACATTCAAATGTGTTTAAATATATATGTACCAATGCGTTTGAACATCTACGAATAATAATAATTTTTTTAATTATCGAGGTAGTTTGATCTATTGTCTTAGTATCCAGGGATAAGCTTAAACATGTGCAAAAAAAAAGTAGTAATTAATATGTGTATATTCCATGCTTGCATGCCCTGTAAAGTTCATCAAGCAATAAAAAGAAAAGGTATGATTGTTGGTATCCAATGTGAATACTTTATAATACGGTATGTATTTTTTTATAATTAAATATTTAATTTATAATTACTCGAACAAAGCGACCTTAGTAATTACTTTAGTAGTTAAAAGGATGATTTTTAACCTTAGATATATCAAGTTCAAGCACTAATTACTATTGAATTTTTGAACGATCATTATCAAATAGTTGAGAGCTTTTAAAACAGATACTGTCAGCACTAAAGCTAATTGCTCCCTGAACCAACAACGAATCTATTATTATCTCATAAACAAAGAAAGCTCCTGCCTTGAATAAGCAGCAATTCGAATTTGCAAAGAATTACTTTCCATGCAACTGATGTTTGTTCTTTTGGAAGAAACATTTTCGAGTCATTTTGCAACTCCAACTCTTTCAAAGAATGTATATATACATTCACAGTCCTGTAATAAAAATGGGTCTTCAACACCACTTGCAGTTTAACAACACCCTCGTGTCTCTATGCCAAATTCTTTGGAGTGGACAAAGCACGCCACTTCTTCGACGAAATGCCGCAAAAAAGACTCTTGGACTGGGATGCTAATATGATGCTCGAATTTGCACCCCTAGATATACTCATGTTTGTCTCACCATGTATAGTAGATCTGTCCAACTAGCATTACTAGGTGAGACGAAAGTAGAACAATCAAGGGCTGATGTACATAGTTTTATTGGAAATCGTTGCACACTCGTTTACATAGTTTTAGTAAAAATCGTTGCACACTCATTAACATAGTTTTAGTGGAAATCGTTGCACACTCATTATTTTAAGAAAAATATTAAATTTAACAATCTTACTGATTAAAAATATGAAAGGACTGAAAATATGGTTTGTGTTAGGGTAAGCAAGAGCAAGAAAACCGCCGCAACAAATGATATGAATGACCAAGGAGTATTGAAATAATCTTTCCTCAGTGTCGCCATCCATCTGTTCAATCTTATCTCGCAATGCTTGTTCACCCTACAAAATATCTCAGCATAGTACAAGTCCCGTGACATGTAAATGGATTCTCGGAGCTTGTTAAACATTTGGGAAACTACTTCATCATCTCCCAACCAGTTGTCAAGAACTCCACTCTTGCAGAGTAGCTGCACATCCTGGCCCGTGTTGATGAGGTTATCCATGAAAACCACGTAATCGACAAAATAAGTCGGTTTCTCAACGGGGAAGAATTGTTCGAAGGCCATGAAATTGCGTAATCGGCGCTCCGTTGAGTCATCGACTTGTAAAATTGGAATCCTCAGTTGTTTGGCATCTGGTGTAAACTTTATACCACTGGTGCCAAAGAAACTGATTCCCGAGTCTTCCAACTCCGTTGCACTACGTATGAACTTCCACGAGCGTTGG